GGAGCCGAGCCCCAGCGGAGGCTCTGTGCCGCTGCCAGGGCACACGCAGAAAGCCCTGGTGCTGCCAGATGAGTTTTCATTTATCTGAAACCATTTAATACTTCTCCTATTGAACAGAGCCATTAAAGAGCTGGCGAGGAGCCACTTGCAATGGGGCTCTTATTAAAGCAAGCTGCCCGAGTGCATCCCTGTGAGCAGAGGAAGGGGTCGGGGCCAGCTGTGCCGGAGCAAGCTGCATTCCCAATGCCTCCCATTTAATACCGGTTTTCCAGTCATTTTAAGGGAAAGCTTTGGATTACTGGAGGATGCAGAAGGGAGCATCACCGGCTGGACCACGCGCAGCATCTCCTGGTGTCAGCACCATGACCACACCACACGCAGGCGATGTGCTGGGATGCAAACCCTCCCCATGCGCCTTCCCTATTCCCAGGGAGGTGCAGGGTACCAAGGGTGACCCCAACGTCCCCCCACAGGGCCGGGTGGCCCCAGGAACAAAGGCCCCTGGCAGGGCACGGCTCCTCCCGATGCTGATCTGCTCCTGCCCCCCGCTCCCTTCCACTCGCTTTGTGTTCCACTAAAAATATCCCAGCAGAGGAAGTGTGTGCCGCGGGGTGGATGCTCTCCTCCCCGGGAGGGGCTTCCTGCACTGAAATAACCCCCTGCAGGCTCCTCCATGGACCCATTGCCCACACTGAGCCCAGGAGGAGAGCTGCTGCCCTCCCTCTGTACCCACAGCACTGGGGCGACAATACAGGTATAGAATTAGGGAATGGTTTGAATTGGAAGGGACCTTAAATCTCATTCAGTCCCAATCCCTGCCATGGGCAGGGACCCCTTCCACTGGAGCAGCTTGCTCCAAGCCCCTGTGTCCAACCTGGCCTTGAGCACTGCCAGGGATGGGGCAGCCACAGCTTCTCTGGGCACCCTGTGCCAGCGCCTCAGCACCCTCACAGGGAAGAGCTTCTGCCTAAGAGCTCAGCTCAGTCTCCCCTCGGGCAGGTTCAAGCCATTCCCCTTGGCCTGTCCCTACAGGCCCTTGTCCCAAGCCCCTCTCCAGGTTTCCTGCAGCCCCTTTAGGCACTGGAGCTGCTCTAAGGTCTCCCCTTCAGGAGCCTTCCCTTCCCCACACTGCTGGAGCTCAAGCCCACCCGCAGCACCAGCCCTGACTCATGACACACGATGCCGGGAGCCCAGCACCATCAATAATGCAGCAGGGTCAGTGCCCGCATGGGGCCGAGGCTTCCCCACAGCTGCCATAGGGGCCGCATGGAGGTGCTGATCCCAAAGGCAAGGCTGGCAACAGGCACCTGAAGAGCTGCAGTGGGAAGGGCAGAGACATGGGCACAGCTCCATGGGCTTCCCCAGGCTCTGCCTGCACAGAGGTCCAGGTCGGATGCAGGGCTGGATGCTGCAGGGGAGTGCTTTAATTTAAACCATGCCCTTTGTTTTGGGGTATTTTTCCTTTAATGCTGTAATTACTGCAGCCCGTTCTGCTCAGGGCGCCTTCATTACATCCTTGTGGTTATTCTACAAGCCCTAAATTTTGGGCCTCAACTGAGCTGGCAATGTTCTCCCAAAACATCTGTCCCGCGTTATCCCCCTTCCAGCGCTGCGGCACAACGCTGCCGGCTCAGGATGCTGCAGAGCAGCACAAAGAGCTCCTATTCCCGACCCAAACAGGAGGGTAAATATTCACTGCCTTGATGGCAGCGCTGCCACGCACTGCAGGTCCCAACAGGCACCCAGCACCCATCCATCCTCCTCCGGAGCCCAGCGCATCAGCTCCAGCACAGTGCAGCTCCTGCCAGCAGCAGCACATGGGTGACACTGACACTGTGTCACCCCCCTCCCCTCAATTAACAACAGGCTGCTAATTCCCCTGCGTTAAAGATCCCAGGTCCAACAGGCTGCTGGGATCTGGCAGCTACAGACAGGGGTTTGTGTCCCAGTGCAAAGCTCCCTTTGCACACCCACCCCCTGCAGACGGGAGCAGTGATGGAAGGGAATTGCATCACTGTGACCGCGCCTCAGGGGCTTTATGGCTCTTGTTTCTCCTACAAACACACCTGGAGCAGGCAGGGAGGCAGCAAGTCCCAAGGACACAGAAGGGTTTGTGTTGGAAGGGACCTTAGAGCGCATCCAGCTCCAAGCAGGGACCCCTTCCACTGGAGCAGCTTGCTCCAAGCCCCTGTGTCCAACCTGGCCTTGAGCACTGCCAGGGATGGGGCAGCCACAGCTTCTCTGGGCACCCTGTGCCAGCACCCTCAGTGTCTCACACGCAGCAGCACCGCTCAGCACCAGCCCTGCAGCACGCTGCCTTTTCCACACCGTTAGCCCTGGCATCCCATTAACAGCCAGCACCAGCTCCCCCTGCAAAGGCACCTTTGCAATAAAAGCAGCTCACAACTGGGCACCCAGCACCCAACACATCTAGAGCAGCTCCCACCACCTCCAAACCCCCCCAGGCAGGACAGAGCCAGAGCCCTGGGGTAAGCAGCAAGCAGCACAATGGCCACAAGAGCATGTGAGTGATACGGGACCACATGGGGACATGCCCTGCATCCTCCACTCCCAAGGGATGCAGTGTGGCAAACCCAAACAGGTCATGCAGGCACAGAGACGGGGGCAGCAATGTGGGATGGGGCAAGGCAGACCCTGCTCCCTGTACCACCATGGTCCCAGGTCCCCATGGATGGGGGCAGCAGGGATTTAAAACCATCCCCAATTACCCATGGGCATGACCCTGGTTCCTGGTGCACAAGGTCCTGGATCCCAGGTCTCTGCCATGGGTGCACATTGACTTCCCCATCCAGACCATTGCTGGGGCCCATGCCCACCCTGTGTCACCTCCCATCTGGGTGCCAGATTCCCCTCCCTTTGCCTCTGTCACTCCTTGCTTTGGGCTGCACTGAACAACCCGGCCTCAAACCAAGGACAGCAGCAGCTTTACATAAGCAAACAGTGCCCAAAGAAACCTGCTCCTGGGAGCAGCCCCAGCATCAGCACCGGCTCCCCTGTGTCTGCAGGGGGAAGGGAGCTGCTCTTCTTCACTAAACATCCCCAAAGGCCCCACATGTGACTGGGGACAAACCTCAGCATGGATCCCAGCTGCCACAGCCCCACTGCAGGGACAGGATCCCCCCCTAAGCTTGGAACAGCACAATCCACATGGCCCCAGTGCCTGTGACCTGCAGGATAAGGGTCAGGTTAGAGCTACCCCATGGGGGGGACACGGTGCTGGAGCACTGAGCACTGCAGGAACTGGGGTCCACCATCACTCCCCAGGCCTCCAGCTGTACATGGGGATACAGCCGGAGCACCACATCACCCAGACCGAGAGCCTGCAGCCTGTCTTACCCCTTGAAACCCTCACCCCAGGGTGACCCACAGCCACGGCATGGAGAAGTGACCTTGGCCAGCACAGCCTGCAGTGCCTGCTCTACACAGAGCTATGACCTGCGGAGTCAGGAGCAAACCAGCCATTGACCTGAGCCTCTGCAGCCACCCAACATCGCCCTGTCCCCAGCCCCACACTGGGGGCATCACCCCAGAGTCCATTCCCCCTTTGTCCAGCTCCAGCACAGGGAGCACCAAATGCCCCAGCCCCTCTGAAGCTCAGGCACCTCTCCCTGTCCCACCCTCTCCTTGGAGGAGCCCAGACCCAAAGGCCGGAAGGGACCGGCCTGTTCCCCTCGCCTGACTTCCCGTCCGCGCTCACTCTTGGACTGGAACCAGCAAATGAAACAGAGGCAGGAGAGGAAATCCCAGCTTGGAACGCCATCCCCAGCCCTGCCCACAGCAGCTCCAGTCCCACTGACCGGCATGAGCTCCACAGCACTGACCCCCATGGGAACGCTCCCATCACCATCATATCCACCTTTAAACCATGCAGTAGGTGCCTCCAGCCCTGCCCCTGCCAGCCCAGGGAAGGGGGATCCCCCTCTGCAAGATGCCAAACAGCTCCAGAGGGAAGGACCAGGGGTGAAACCTGCTCCTTATCACCAGAGACGCCGGTGCCTCGTGCCAGCATCGCCTCTGATCCGCACAGGGACCGTCTTCAGCTGCTTCCCCACAGGGAGCTCCTGAGGACATGAAGCTTTCCCAACTTTCCCACCTCCCACCAGCGAGTTCTGGGCCAGCATCCAGCCACCACCCCGCTTGTGAGGTGGGGGAACAGAGGCCAACCAGGCACTGCAGCTCCACGGGGAGGAGGAGGAAGAGGAGGAGGAATGCGCCTATGGCAGCTCCGTGCTGGAGGAGGATGCTGAGCATCTTTGCTCCCTGCCTGGAAGCGCAGGATGGATGCAGAGCAGATGGAAGGGGATAATGGTGCAGAGGGGCTGGAGTCACCGCCAGCCTCACACAGCTCCTGCCACGTTCACCCCTGAGGAAGGCAGAGCTCCACTGTTATCTGATGAGTGCAAGGCTGCGCCGTCTCCAGCACAGCCCCAGTGGCGAGGCAGCCATGGAAACTGGACCTTTTCCACCCCAAATTCTTTCCTTGTTGGAAAGGAGTTTACCAATAAAAAGCACTTCACTGCGGGATCGCAGGCCAGACCCTGGCCACTTGAAAAAAGAGCTAATTTCCTCCCTAGTTAAGCAAAAAAGCTGAGAACACATTCATCCCAGATGTTCCCTCCCTCCTGTACATAATGGAGGGGGGAAAAGCTCATTTGGGAGCTTCACCTCCCTGGTCCACGCAGCCTGTCCCATTGGGACAGCAGCCTCAACTGAGGCACTGTGGGCTCCCTCATCCCCAAGCTGGTGACCCCCCAACAGCTCCCAGAGCCCCTTAAGGGACACAAGGGAGTACAGAGCAGCACAGCCCCAGCAGCCAACCCTGCACAAGAACAATGAGGCTAAAGGGGTGCAGCTCACCCGCTGCTCCAGGGCGCAGCGGGGTCCCCACCCCCACAGCCACATCCAGAAGGCATTTCCCAATGGGAAGCAGAGGGATGCGCCCCCAGGGTGCCTGCACCCATTCCCCATCTCCCGCTCACCTTCCTGCTGCCGTGCGAGGAGAAGCTGTGTGAGTGGTGCTGGAGGCTGTCCCCGCTCAGCTCCAGCTGCGGCTTCCACACCTCCCCGTTGTCGCTGCCCGCTGACTTGTTGGGAGACGCGGCGGAGCCGAGCAGGATCCCGCTGTGCACCATGTCCTCCGTGCACGTCAGCCGCAGGCTGCACAGGTACTCGTCCGTCTCCTTGTCCACCACCAGCAAGCGCGTCTCCGTCTCCACGGCCTTGATGCGCTGCACAACCTGGAGAGGAAGGGGACAACTGAGCCGAAAGGCAGGGACCCGCTGGGACAGCAAGAGCTGGACCCAAGGAGCAGCAAGGCCCCCACACACTCTTGCTGCAGGGTTCATGTTCACCATCACTTACAGCCATTGGTGATGGGGAGAAGAGACCCCAACCACAGGGATGGAGGAGGTGTTGCCTGCATTCCTGGGTGATGGAGGTGGCTCTTTCCACCCCGTGCTTGCAAACACAGGGCAGCCCTGCCCAGGCCAAGTGCACACACCACCCAGCACCAGGGGCTTCCACAGAGGCTGCTTCACTGCCTTTGAGCATCAGAAACCCTGCTGCCTGCTTTGTCCCTTAGAGGGACAACACAGCCTGTCCCAACAAGCAAACCACCTTGCACACCCTCACTGCGTTCATCTGAGGGGTCTTTCTTTGCTCAATACCCAGGGCAGGGCAGAGGTAAGGTGCACAGGGAGGCACCAAGCACCAACGCATGCATTTGGTGGCTGGATGCTCCCCACCACGCTGGTGTGTTGGCTAAAATCCATCTGTGGATTTAGGAGAGGAAGAACCTGATCTACCCATTCATCCTCGCTCCGTGCTGGGGGCCAGCACAGATAACAGAAGCCGGTGCTGGGAGCAGGAGATGGGCCCATCCCTGCTGGGATCCAGCTCCAGACAGTGCTGAATGGGGACCATTGTCCTGCTGCTGCCCGGCTCCGGGAGGGATCGGTGACTGGCAGAGGCTCTGAAAGGAGCTCACGGTGGGAAGAGCCGGGAGGAGGCGATCCCGGCCAGACAAGGGAGGAAATCAGAGCAGGGTGGGATGCGATGGGAGCAGGGCACATCCAGGGCATGCACAGGAGCAGGGTGAAGGGAATCCACCTTCAGTCTCCCTTCACTCTGAGGAGGAGGAGAGGTACCGCTGGCGATGCTGTCCCACAGCCATCCCCAGCCATGGCGTGGCCCTGAAGACCACAGAGCCATGACTCTGTGCGTGCTGGGAACCCCCAGAGCAGCACTGGTCCCCCTCGCAGGGCTCCTGCTCTGATCTAGGTCACACTGGGCAGACAACGCCAAGGTTAGAAGCGACAAACGAGCCTAATGCGCAATTAGCCAGCATTTATTTACTCCCTGCGAGCTCCACTCAAGGTCAGCAGCGCCCGTGTCTGCAAGCGAGGCACAAACACACGCAGCCAACAACAAACGCATGCACTGCAGACAAGGCTGCTTGTCCCAGAGCAGGTGATCCGCTGCAGGCTGCAGGCAGCCTCCATGCGCCGCGGCAGCGTGCCCAGGGCTCCCATCCGTAACCAGCCTGAAGGGTGCTATTCCAGCAAGCCCCAGAAAACCCATCTGCTCCCTTTCAGATCTATTTACATGAGACATCAGACGGCGCTGCCGATAGCAGCAAGGCAGCGCCTGTGCGAGGGCACATGTCCCACAGGGGACCCGGGAGCAGGCAGCCAGCGGGCAGCGGTGGCAGGAGATGCAGATGGGCAATGCCAATGGGGAAGGCGTAGGAGGGAGATGCTGAGTCCCACAGCCAGACCCTGCCTGCAGTTTGGGTGCTCCAGGCATTAGGGCTGCAGTCAGGCACTGGCGAGAAGCAGAGTCCTGCAGAGCACAAGGAAATGCAGGGGGACCACAGAAGATCCCAACTTGCCGAGGTCCCCAACAGCCCCAGTGAGAACAGCAGCGGATCAAGCACCCCCCAGCCCCGAGAGCGGGTGAGCAGAAGGGGCTTTTGGTGACAAGCTCCCCAAGCAATTCACTCTGGGGCACAGCAGCCAGGTGGAGGCAAAGCAGCAGCAGGACCCTACCCGCTTCCGAGCCATGGTCACAGAGCCTCGAGTCCGCAGCTCCTCTGAGGACAGCGCAGCCTCCCCTGCGCATCCGGCACCTCGGGACCTTCGCAGCCCCGGTCCAGCCGCATGATTTCCGCTGCTCCACCCAGGCTTTCACCCTGGAGACACCAACACCAGCCCCGCCAAGCCGTGCCGGGCCCTTCCACCCTTGTCTGACAAGGTCTGCCCAGGAAGGAGGCTCATGGTGCCACCGGGAGCAGCTCCGTTCATCCCTCCTGCTCCAAAGGAGATGCCTCTGCCCATGCACTGCAATGGGGATCCAGAGGTTATCCTCGCTCTGGGCTCTGCCCGCCTGGACAAGGAACCAAGGAGCCAGGCTGCAGCTCTGCATCCAAGACGTGGAACGCCCTGAGGACACGTTCTGCCTTTGCTCCTTGGGTAAGGCCAGGAAAACACAGAGAACAAAGACACAAATGCTGCCAGCTTCAGCTCGAAACACAGCTACACCCAAACAGCGAGGCCTTGTTTGCTGCAGGCTCTGTCCCATTGCAGCTTCAGAGGCACACGGAGAGGCTTAGTTACTCATTCAAGGTTGGGGACCTCAGGAGAGGCCACAGCAAACTGCCTGCTGTATCCCACTGACAGGAGCCAGCATCAGACCTGCCATGGCCATGGCATCCCCTTCCCACAGTCCATCAGTGCTGGGTATCTGTTTTAGGGGACGATGTTCTTGCTGTATCAATGCAGCAGGAAGAGCGATCCCAGAGCATTGCAGAGTGGGCTGCTCCCACTTGCACACTCACACCTACTAACGGCATCACAGCAGGAGCATGGCAGCGAGATCCACAACACCCCGGATGGAGCGGACACGCTCCATCCCATTCACTGCTCTGCGGCTCCCAGGGCTCCATCCTGCCTCCACCAGCAGAAAATGGAAGGCAGGAGAATTTCTCCCATTTCTCTTGCCTATGGAAGAGCCCTGCCTGTTTCCAAGGCTCAGGGGGTGCCTCCGCTCCGCTATCGCCCATCCCAGCATCCCAGCTTCAGCAGGGAGCTCTGGTGGCTTCCAGTAGGACGCAGCTCCTTGCAGGAACACAGCCCTCCTCTCTGCCCAGCTGGATCAAAGACGGGAGCCCTCCTCCAAGGGGGTTGAAATCCCATTCAAGACAAACATTAACCACACGCAGCCGGCGCAGATCAGCCAGCCAAGCTCCGTCAGCCACAGAGCACACCAAGCCTGGGGAGAGGCCTTTACTGAAGCCACCTGGAAGCTTTGCCTCACCTCCAGCAAAGCCAGCCTCTATGGCTGGGAACCTACAGCCCCCAAACCCTGCCAGGTCCACCAGCTCCACGCAGCCCATCCCTGCTCTGCCCTGATAAAGCACTAGCAGCAGGGCTGGATGCATGTTTTAGGTTACTAAAGCACCGAACCTCACAGAGCCCCACAGGCCAAGCAGCACACTGGGGGCTGTGCCCCAGAGCAGCTTGAATCTCACTGCTTGTGTTTTCAGCCTGAACTGTGTTATGAATAAACACAAGTTTCGGTTTACAAGCAGAAAATGACAGAGTCTGGAGCATGCAGCTTCTGCTACAGAGCTCAGAAATGGCTCGCTCAGGTCCCCCCAGTCACAGCCATGGTCTGACACCGACCGTTCTCCCCCTGCAAGCCCCATCTCAGCAGAGCCAAACTGCTGAGCATCTGCAGAGCTTGGGGGGTTGATTTTCAGGCACCTTTCTACGCTCTGGGCTGTGTAAGCAGGAGCAGCTCACCCAAAGGGACCAAGAGCTGGAAATAAAGCCCAAGTCTCCCCATTCCTTTCCACCAGAGATTGCATAACACAGCAGTGCCCTGCCCATACCGAAACACCTTCGGCTTTCCCACCTTTACACAACAGCAGCGAGTCAGACCACACCGTGCAGCCGTTCTCCTGGGAACCCGGTGTCCCAGGCACACAAAAGCCCCCCTTTGCAGCCCAGGCCTCGATTCTGGGGGCCCCCCACCCTGCTCCACCACCACCACCCCCCCGAGGATGCTCCAACACGGCAATTTAGGGTGCAAACCACCCCTCTATGAACACCCGATGGCGGCTGGAGCAGGGCAGCGCCAAGCCGGGGATGCGGGTCCATAGCCGGGGCTCTCCCCCCGGGGGTACCGCGCTCTCTTGCCCGTACCTGGTGGTGCGTCTCCTGCTCCACGTTGAGCCCGTTCACCTCGACGACGCGGTCCCCGGCGCGCAGCCCCGCCGCCTCTGCGGGCGAACCGGGCTCCACTTTGCGGATGAACTGCCCGCTCTTGCCCTTCTCGCCGTGCAGGTGGAAGCCGTACCCGCTCTCCCCCTTCAGCATGCGGCACAGCCGCGGCTTCAGCTGGTCCTTGGCCATGGCCCGGCGGCGGCGGCGGCAGCGGGAGGGCGGGCACGGGCGGGCGGCCGCGGGGCCGCTTTTATGCGCGGCCCGGGGCGGGCGCGGAGGGGCGGGACGGGGCCGGAGCCGGGGCCGGGGCTGCGGCCGCAGCCGGAGCCGGGGCTGGGGCCGGAGCCGGGGCCGGAGCTGGGGCGCTGCGCACCGCGGCCATGCTGCGCGCTGCCCCGCGGCGCCGGGAGCGCGGCGGGCGGGGACGGGCAGGGGACGGGGACGGGGCGGGCGGAGCCGGGGCGGAGCCGCTGCGGGGGACGGGGACGGGGACAGGCGGAGTCGAGACCGGGATCGGCACCGGCACCGGAACAACACCGGGACCGGGACCGGGACCGGGACTGACACCGACACCGGGGCTGACGGAGCCGATGCAGCCCCGGTGCCGCTGGTGTCCCCGGGGCTGATGGAGGCCTCCCGCACTCACGGATCGGAGCCACCCGGGCTCCGCGGGCTCAGCTCCGGCTTCGGGTCCCGTTCCCCCTCCCGGTGCAGTGCAGAGCCCCCAGGCGGTGGCAGCCCCGCAGGCACCGGCTGGAGCCCATCACCCCCAGGCCAGCCCCGGGACTGCTGCCGGGCACCGGGCCGCTGAGCTGGCACCCCCGGAATGTGCATCCTCGGGGTACCGGGGCCGGGGATCAGCATCCCCAGGTCAGCGCAGCTCCGCCCTGACACGGGACCATGGAGGCGAAGCTGTGGGGAGCAGGGCCTGGAGCAGAAGCTGTGAATGCATCCAGAGGTCATCCTGAGCTGATGGGATGCGCTGGGATCCCCTGGTCCAGAGCAGGGAGGATGGAGCCCAGCAGCTCCTCTGCCCACCCAGCCCCAGCCTGTGACCACAATGGGATGCAGAGGTCCTGGTGGGATGTCTCCACTGAGCTGGCCAGACTGGCACCCACTGGAGCTCATGGGCTGATGCACTCCATAGGTTGACATGAATGAGCTCCAAAATGTTCTGTGTCCTGCCAAGCCCTGGACCGGGGATGGTGCTCATCAATGGGCAGCTCTGCTGGCCCAATCCCAGACTTTCCTGGCAGGGAAAGGCTCCTGCTCCATCCCGAGTGCCCGTGGGAGAGGCTGTCCAGGTTTCACCTGGAATGAGCTTGTTTGGGTGAAACCATCTTCACCCTGCTGCATTCCTCACCTTCATTTCCTTGAAACCTTTTACAAGGAGGAAATGACCTGGATCAGTTCTCACAGCGCTGGGCACCACGTTCCTGTGTGACAGGTTCCTCACCCTCCTCTGGTATTTCTCCTTCCTCCACTGCTTTCCTACCTGGTCTTTACAGAGCTGAAGCAAACGCAGCTGGAGGTGGCAAAGAAAAGACTCCAGAAGTGAATATTGATTCATTTAATTTGTTGTCTGCTGAATAAAAAGACTTCACTGCAGTCAGATGTAAAACCACTCTTCAAAGGAATGATGCTCGAAACTAAAAGATGCTTGGTGGTGTGTCTTAGAGGAAAAGAATGGCTTTATTCCCCTCCAGCATCCCTGCCCACCCTCATTCCCATAGGGAATGTGCTGCTTGGGTGCTGCATCCCAGGAGAGGAGGATGACACCAGCTGCCTTTGTGCCGAGGCCCCTTTGCCATAGAAGCTCCAATCCCGGCACAAGATCCTGGGTGACACCGGAGGAAACCGGAGAGATGGGAAGCTCGGGGCCTGTTTTACTGCTGTGGAACACAAGTGCTCCCTTGAGCCTCTTTGTGGACTCCCGGAGCCTTTTATCGCGCTGGAGGAGTGCGAGTAATTGATTTTTCCACTCAATGACCAGAGCAAAGCCCGGGCGGGGGGGAGGAGGAGGGGTTCTCTCAAGTTGGTTTCAACAAAAAACCCCTTTTCTCTTTATTCAATGCAATAAAAACAATGGGGGAGAAAATCTTTTGGGTGGTCGGAATATTTTAACCCTTTGGAATGTCTTTTGAAACGGCAAAATGAGAAAAGGGAGAAAAGAGCGTTTCAAGAAGGTGAAAATGGGCTGGTTTTTATTGGAGCACACGCATGTTCTCAAGTGTGGCTGGGATTTATGCATTTTTTTCCAACTTCAGCGTCCCTAAAAGGCATTTTTCCCCCAGAAAACATCTATTCCTCCTAGAGGAATACAGGAGGGTCAGATACCAAGTGTTACGTGCCTGGCAAGAGGATGTAACCCAGTAGAAATGCCCAAGCATCCCTGTCTACATCCAAGGGCATCAGGACCCTAGTCTAAGCCACCATCAGGTCCCCTCCTGCAGGGACATGTGTGGGACTGGGTAGAGCCCAACTCCGAGCAGGAATTCTGCCTTCCTGCTGCTGGTTTCACACTCTGGGAGCCTGAACTGGAGCATGTATTTCCTGAAGCCACTATTCTGGGAGCTGTGCTGTGCCCTCAGCTTGGGCACAGGGACCCAGGTCTTCCTCCACCCCAAGGCAGAAGGTGGCCAAGGTCTCCTGGGATGTGGAGCCTGGCTATGACCAGTTCAGTGATCCCCAGCTCCGTGCTGGAATGCCAGGTATGGAGCAGGGGGCGGATAAACAGCAGCCAAATGCTCTGCTGGGGAGGAGGAGGCTGAGCAGGACGAAGAGCATCTCCCATGGCTGATGTGGAAACGGTGTCTCATGAAAGCCGAAGGGAGGAGTGTCCGGCAGCGCCTTTTCCTTGCTCTCCCTTTGGCGGAGCTCCCATCCCCGAGCAGGACGATCCCAAGGCAGCGGCCTGCATCCCGGGAAGGGAGAAAGGGAGAAGCCATCAGATCTGCCCTTGGGAACATGTCGAAAACGTGTCTCCTCTTTGGCAGATGATGGCCCAAAGGAAAATCCTCTCCTTTCTTTGGTACCTTCATCATTGGGGTCTCTGATGGTCCCCACAGGAAGCTGCTGCTACTGCAGCAATTAGCTCTGACCACTAATAATGAAGTCTTGGGCTTTCCACCTGCATGGATGTGGCCGAGCTCATTCCTCCTTCATTTCACCATCACCCAGCATGGGGCTGCCGGGTGCTGCAAGCAGCAGCTCACATGGAGCAGGGAAAGGCCAATGATTTATCTGTGCTGCCAGAGGAACAGGGACTGAGAGGAGAGCTCATAACAAGCAGCGTCTCACTTTCTCAGAGCCTCTGTGTGTGGCACTATTGAGCTGTAAACGTTTTCCAGGTTACATTTCTGGGGGTGGAAGGAGAACTGATCATTAGGAGCATTAACTGTATGCTTTGTGGCTTGTGAAAGTTTAGTTTGGCTGCTGAGAGCTGGGACATCCCTCTTGCACAACCTGCCAGGTCCCTTCTTGTTTGCAAGCAGATGCAGTGCTATAGGTACCGAGCTGGAAGGGACCTGAGCTCTCCCACATCCATGGGTAAGTGTGGAAGCAACGATGCTGCTCCCACATCCTGGTGCTGTGCAAACCACCCTGCTCTGCACCCACCATGACCCCACAGCATGGGCACCCCACGCTGACCTCCATTCTCCCCTGGAAGAGCTGAAATGGCTCTGGCAGCTATGGGAAAACCACATGGATATGGGACTGCAGAGGGATTTGCTGATGGAGAGGCAGGTGCTGGCACAGCCCATTTCCTGAGCTGGATGCCAGCCAGTGGCAGTGCCACTGTGCCTGCCACAGCAAGGACACGGATGTAAGAGAAGCACGGAGCCCTCTGGCTGGCTCTGGGGTGCCCTGTCCCTGGGAGCACCCATCCTCCAAGCACCCCTTCCCAGCAGCACCCATCCCTGGGCGAGGCTGGTGCTGGAGCATGTCTGCGGAAGTGCCATGGTGGCAGAAGGGACCTCCCCAGGCAGGAATGCACCCCTGAGGTCCCTGCCAGCACCCAGCCTGCCACGCTGCGCCACAGCCACCTCCTGCCCTGCCAGAAGAGCAGCAGAACGATGCCACCAGACACGGGAGCTGGACCTGAGCCCCAGGGTGGTGGTGGCCTGAGTGAGGAGCAGAAGCACATCGAGAGGGTTTTGCAGGGCTGGAGGTGGATGGAGACAGGAAACCTCCTCTTCCAGCCCAGTAACAGCAGCACAAGGGGCTCATGGGTGGCAGTGCGGGACCCACGAAGGGTCCCAACCCAATGTTACCCCTCAGGCACCCCAGGCACAGCCCCGGGCTGTGCAGCCAGATCTGTGTCTGTGTCTCTAAGCCACTGTCACTTTATCAGCACCCTGGACATATTGGAAGCAGGCAACACAGCCCGCACAGAGATACCCTTATCTCCTGTTCTCTGCAGCTCCTGCCCCTTATCTCCAGCTTCCCTCAATTCCCCTGGGTGGTGTCAGTGTGAAGCTGTGGACAGCTCGGTGGGACAGGATGAGACCCTCAGCACTGGGTCCTGCAGCCTGGGGTTCTGCATTGGGACTATCCAGGGTACCCAGTTCTGCCCGAGGGTTCTCCATTCCCAGGCACCGCTGCACCCAACAGGAGCCACTCAACCTATCCCAGCTCAGCCCCAGCATCCTGCATCCCAGCAGGGCAAGGAACAGCTCCTGGGCAGAGCCGACAGAGGAGGAAATTCCTTGGGGAGTTTTCTTCCTCCGGGTACACGCAGGGGCCCTGCAGTCATTGTGTGTGTTCATGGGCCAGCCCCTGTGTGAGCTCACCCCAGCTCCCCCGGGGCTGCCGGTTCCTGCCCTCCCCAAAGCCCCCTGTCCTGCTGTGCCCGGTGGATGATGCTGCTCCCTTGGGAGAGGCTGGGGAGCTGGGAAGGAAGGGGAGCTGCCCTGGACTTGGGCCGGGTTGGGGTGGGACGCCTTCCTGCCGATGCAGCCCCTGGGATTCCTCTTGCACTAGAACAAACGGCATCTCCTGGCACGGCAGGCTGGGTGATGGCGCACTCCATCCAGGACAGCCGGGAAAGCTTCCCTGTGCCAGCCAGCCCCGGCTCCAGAGAGCAGAGCTGGGTCTGCAGAGATCCCAGGGTACACCTTGGGAATGGACCTGGACCAGCACCTGGATCCAGGTCCAAACCCTAGGACCCAGAGCCCAGGAGCAGCCCCATTCCTGGGCTGCCCTAATCCTGAGATGGAGCAGCAAGGATAGGCTTTAGCTCAGAGCTTCCACCCTCTCCCAGGCCTGTTGTCTTGGCTGGGGCTCTGCAGACAAGGTTCCCTGCTCTGCAAAGGCATAGGGACAGAGGCATGGTGGCCAGGCTCATCCTCACCCCTGCTGCAGCTCCCCAGCCCTCTCCATCCACTGCCATCAGTGTGGCCACAGAATGGAACGGCAAAGTCACCCACTCCCGGCACTCCCTGCACCCTGCCCACCACTCCACAGCCTCAGGGACCTGGTGGGACGTGGTAGGAGGGAAGGGGTGATGTGTCCCACTGTCATCTGGTGGTTTCTGAGCCCTGCCATGTCTCCCAAAGCCCAAAGAGGTGCCAGGAATCAACCTTGTTGGCTGCAGTTACCCCCCCACAAAGCTGCTCCATGGGGATCAGGGGGCATCAGGGCCAGGATCCTAACATGGTGCTGTGGTTCTCGACCTGTCCATGCTCCCCTAAAAGCTTTTGTCTCCCCTCTTTGCTCCTGGCTGCAAACCCAGCCTATGGTGGGCAGAGACCAGCATCCTCCCCAAGAACCCCTGAGGTTGCTTTTTATCTTGAAGCATCCATGGGGTCCCCACGGTCCAAGCTGTGGGTCTGGGCATGCAGCTCCAGAGCGAGAGAGGCAGGAGGCAGACTGTGGGAAAGCCAGCATCTCCCCCAGGAGCTCTCTTTTAGAAGGGATGAGATGAACATCCATCAGGGATTGTTGGGTCCTGCCCAAGGCAGGAGGGATAATTAAACACCACCCTAAGCTTTCCTCCTTATGGGGCTTGTTGATCCCCAGGGAAAGCCCAGACCTCTCCAGAGAGCTGGGAGCACAGAGGAAATCATCTTACAACCCCACTGGGGAGTCAGCTCATGCTCCTCAACAGCAACATTATTTTACAAGGTGAGAAGTGAAGGGCTTGTGGTTAACTGAGTGTCTGGCTGCCTTGCCCCAGTAATTGCACATAGAAGCATCTCTTCCCAACAGATGAGGGTGAAAGTGCACACTTGAGCCTCATCTCTCATCACATCACCCTTCACCCCCCTCTCTGTGCATCCCACTTTACCTTTTCTACCTCATTTATCACTTACCTCCATCAAGAAGGGCACTTTCCTCAGTGGCCACTCCACAGGCTCATTGGCACTGGGACAGGTACAGCCCTGCTCAAGTGCAGCTGCCTAATGGGTTACTGGCAATCGCGGCTCATTTGACCCATCCAAGCAGTGCACTGATGAAGAGCAGAAATTAGAAAACCATGGAGGGGGGGAAGGAGAGAGGCCATGGAGTAAAAACCAGTTGGGAATCAGCTGGGAGAGAAGGCTCTTTCACATGTTATAGCATGAAATACACCCTGAGACCTGGTGGGGGGTGATGCAGCCCCTCAAGGGGAAGCAGTAGGCAGGGCTCAGTGTGCACCCCACTTCCTAATGAGCACCATGAGGGGCTTTCCTTTCAGATCCAAACCAAAGGCAGCACAAACCCTGCTGTCCCAGCTCCATGGTCAGCCACAGGGGCTTGGCAGGAGCAGGCAGCTCATACAAGAAGGGTGGAAACGTCTCTTTTTGCCAGATTTCCTGCAAACTCTGCCAGCGCCGGCGGGTGAGAGCTCAGCAATTCACAGGAGCCGGGCTCAGCCCCTCCAAACCTCAGTTTCCCTTTGGGCTCAGATCCCACCCGCTCCAGCGCCGTGTGCTCCTGCCTGGCCCTGATGCTTCTCCCTGCTTTAATGGGGAATAACATTTATTTTTCATCAGTGGAGATGTTAAATCCTAAGCAGGCAAATAAAGAACTGGAGCAGCAACAACTCACAGAGCGGCTGTGCAGCACAGTCCGGGAAAGATTCTAACTCTGTCATCTTAATTGACACTTGGCCTGGCAGGAACTCCCATACGGGCAGTAAAAGGGATTTACTGTAAAGCTGCAGAATGAAACTGTGTCAAGGAGTTAAATCATGTCAGAAAAATCTGGGAGTGACCCGTCTGCTGAAGTGTCTGAAGCAGGTTTTGCTTTGAGAAACCCCACAACACAAGAGCACAAGGAAGGCAAAGTTTCCTTTGATCGATTCTCATTTAATGAGGGCAGGTTCCTAGGAAGCAAAGGGACATGGTTGTGGCAGACTGCAAACCAGATAGGCCAGAAAGCTAAAAAGAAAATCAACAAAAATAAACTCTGTCCCCTGTTTATTTCTCCCCAAGTTCAGAGCATGGGTTGACCTGAAAACAACATGAATTTGCCACTGCGTCTGGGCAGCAGCCATGAAAAACCAGGGTTGGTTTGGAATGCCATTGTCTGTATGGTGTCAGAGTACCAGGACATCCACCGGTGAGACTCTTCCCCAGCAGGCAGGGTGAGCAGTTTCCACCTCGGGCTGTTGATGCTCCTCTGGTGCTTGCAGCATCTCTGCTGAGCCCCTTCAGCGGATCAGAGCCATGTCTTCAAGGGGGAGAAGCTGGAAAAGAAGAGGGGATGGGTTATTTTGGAGCCTCACCTGAGCATTCAGCTGAGCATCACCGCCCTCCTTAAGCGGGACCACGATTCTGCTCTGTAGAGTGCTTAAACCACTGATGCATCCATGATATTCATCCAGTATTCTCTTCCATGGGCTCAGATCCAATCTGTGGTGACTGCGACCACGCAGATGAAACCCATGCAGACACCTAAATACAGGGCTTTGGAGGATCCCGTGGGAACGAGGCTGTGAAATCAAGGGGTGTACGCATGGATGCAGGTCTGGAGCCTCAGAGTGGTACCCGGGATGCTCTGCCGGCACACAGCCAGGCAATGGAACTGGCGCAGACTAACACAGGGCTGAGCTTCCCTGTATGGGCTGTCCCAGAAAGATCCTAATCCCAGATTTCCTCCAGAAGATGAAGGAATGAGGAATACAGTTACACGCTTCAGGGGCTGATCCAACAGCTAAAAGCCTCCGTGGGTTTCAGCTGCGTGTTGGCTCCAGCTTCACATAAAACACAAGAAATTGACTGGAGCCAGGCACAAGCTGTCCCTCGGAGCTCAGCTGAGCCCTGCAGGGAGTGGGGTGCTTGGGGGGTCACACTGGGAGCACCTCACATCAGGGCAGCCCAGCTCCGTGCTTGGAGCACTCCGAAACCCCACTGCCTGCAGGATGGGAGACTGCAGTAAGGCTCCCTGAACCCCAGTTACCTGCTGAACACCATCAAAGGTTCTGTGAACCCCCAGTTACCTGCTGAACCCCCTCTATAGCTCCATACACCTCCAGTTCCTTGGTGAACCCCTTCTATAGCTCTGTGCAACCCCAGATAACTGGTGACATCCCTCCAAGGCTCCGTGCACCCCCATTTACTTGATGACCCCCTCCAAGGCTTCATGCACACCCAGATACCTACTGAACTCCCTTGGCTCCGTGCAACCCCAGATACCTGGTGAACCCCCTCCATGGCTCTGTGCACCCCCAGTTACCTGTTAAACCCTCTCCAAGGCTCCATGCACCCCATTACTCCCTCTAAGGTTCTGTGCTCCCCCGTTAGCTGGTGAACCCCCTTCAAGGCTCCATGCACAACCATTTACTTTTAGTGAACCCTCTCCAAGCCTCTGCGCACTCCAACTTACCTGCTGAACCCCCTCCAAGGCTCCGCGCACCCCCGTTACCTGGTGAACCCCGCGGTGCCGCAGCCACACCGCCCCACGACGCCCGCACTCCGGGCAGTGGCTGCCCTCAAAAGCAACCTTCGGTGCCCGTCCCCGCCGCCCCCCGCCCGCCCATCAGGACCGGGGTTACCTGAACCTGGTGGAGCCCGGGCGGGGGCCGGGCGGGGGCCGCCCCAGCCCCATCCCCGCCGGAGCAGGCGCTGCAGGAGGCGGCCGGGGCCGGGGCCGAGGGGCGGCGGGGCTGGAGGGGCGCTCTCCCCGTCGGGGCGGGCCGGGGGCAGCTGCGGGGCAGCGGCCGGTCCCGGGGGGCGCCGCGGGAGCTCGGCCGGCAGCTCCCGGCGCCAGAGGTACGGGGAGCGGCGGACGCCCATGAGCAGCCCCGAGGCGCGTCCCACCGTGTGGTACCGGGGGCTGGCGACGTGCTTGTACCAGGCGCCCGCCGGTGCCGCCGGGAGCATCAGCCCCAGCAGCACCAGGGCCCCCCAGGCACCCCCCGAGAGCTGCCCCCTCGCCATCCCGCCGGGCAGGGCGCACCCCGGCCCCGGGTGCCCCAGCGATCGCTGCCCCGCGCCCGTTCCCCGCCGGTTTATAAGGGCCGTCGGGAGGGGCCCCCGCGGCTCCGCCCCGGCAGCCCCCGGCCCCCCGCACCTCCTACCTGCCGCCTCCTGCGGGTCCCCGCCTTCCCCTTGCAACCCTCCAGCATCCTCTCTACGGCCCCTAGCTTCCCTCCCGTCCTTGAGCATCCCTCCCCCCCACAGCCCCAAGCATCCCCCCTGCATCCCTGAGCATCCCCCCCGCATCCCTGAGCATCCTCCCTGCATCCCTGAGCATCTCCCCGCATCCCTGAGCATCCCCCCTGCATCCCTGAGCATCCCCCCACATCCCTGAGCATCCCCCCGCAGCCCTGAGCATTCCCCCCTGCATCCCTGAGCATCCCCCCGCATCCCTGAGCATCCACCCTGTAGCCCTGAGCATCCTCCCATAGTGCCGAGAATCCCCCCTGCATCCTTGAGCAGCCCCCCTGCAGCACCAAGCATCCCCCCGCAGCCCTGAGCATCTCAAGCATCCTTGAGCATCCTCCTTGCTACCTTCAGCATCCTCCTCACTGCCCAAGCAACCTCCCTGTGGTCCCCTTTGCAGCCCTGAGCATACTTCGCATGACCCTCAACATCCCCCTGCACTTCACAGGCCTCTTCACAGCCCAGCACCTGCCCCAGCCCCTCAGGACCTGCTCAAAAGCAGCAGGATTTACTGCTGGAGGAAGAGATGCTGTAAACCGACTGCACCTTCAGAGGGTCCTGGATCCCTCTTTTAGGTAAGACTTGCTGCCTAGAGAGGAACTGACTGACTGCAAAGCACAGGACTCGTAAGTAAGAACAAATTGCAGTGATTTTCAGCAAAATCCATCCCAATTGGGGTCCCAGAGGGAGGTGGGTGATGGACACCGAAGCCCTGCCTTGGTGCAGAGATTATGCTGGTGCTGGGAGGCAGAGGGCTCAGGGAACATTGTGTTCCATGGCTCCTCTCCGTCTTCCTGCCTCCCATCTCGCTCAGCTCTAACATCCCACCCGTGCTTCAGGTGCTCATAAACTTGCCTCGGTGCAGGGCAGTCACAAGTGTTTTGGAGGTGTAAAGTGATGGGAAGAGACAAGACACAGAGTCCGTGGTGGGGCTCAGACTACAGCTGTGCTCACACACAGCTCAGACCCCCGCTGTCGCTGGGATCACTGTTCACTCCTGGTCACTTCTCCATCGCAGTTTGAAGTGGCCACTGCCTGACTTCCACCCGAACAGCTATTTCAGTGAGTTGCTCCTGCTCTTCCAGGTCTTCTTTAGGAAAAAAAGATTACCAGAGATGAATCCCTGATTCCCACGGGACATCGGCCAATCTGTCTTCCTTGCACTGAAGCCTTCAATATCCAGAGACCTTTCAGGACCTGGGATTCCCAGTCACTTCCGTGCGTATTTCTCCCTGTTGGTGTTATTTTAACCTGCTTCCAAGGAAGCTGGCAGCCTGCTTCCCACCATCCGGCTCCGATGTCTTTTCAGCATGCAGCCAGCCCCCATCTTCTCCACACAGCAATGCTTTCTCCACCAGCCCAGCTTTCACAGGTTGGTGCTTTGTGACCCTCCGCTGAGGTCTGGGACGTGTTTGGGTGTTCAAGCAGGAGACAGACCCATGCTGGGAACCCCTTGGTGTGTAAGAGCAGGTTCTCATCATCTTGGCCAAGCAACAACCTCCTCCAACAGGAACCAGCTCCTTGGCCAGGCAGGGGCAGGGAGAGCAGGGCCAGGGGTTGTGGGGAGGAGGAGAAGGAGGAAAAGGGAAGTGCAGAGCAGCAACAAGACAAGAGGAGGTGTAAGATAGTCAGTGCAGAGCCTCACAGTTTTCCTCTTCTAGGAAGGCCAGTAGCAAGTGAAATTCTCAGTTGGCAGGAAGCAGTTCCCAGCCTTTTCCTGAGTGGAGTGCTGGAAGTTACGTGCAGAGCATGGCTCATTTCTATTAATGAACCAGACTGACAGAATTCAACTCACCTGTGGCCCAGCTTCTTGGAAGTACCCAGGCTTACAGTAAGGATGGAGCCAGGTTCCCATATCCCATCGAGTATATCACTGACGGGTGGCCTATTCATGTCACCCTTTTGAGTGCTCTGGACATGCCAACAGCCTCACCACTCTCCTGTTCAATAGAGCCATTAATGAACGGCTTCAGTACAGCACACTGACAGCATCACATCCCCCCCCTCCGGCCACCCAACCCTGATCACACTGGGACACACTCTGCCAGGTCTGGGTCACTCAATAAAAACCATTATAATTCCTTCTCCTCCCGAGAGATGGATCAATTCTGAACAACCTGACTCTCAGTGTGCACAAGGCAAAGGCTCCTTCCTGCCTCTGCCCCATCCCTAAGCAAACGCAGATTTAGGAGCTGACGTTTCACTGCACCAACGTGGGCTCAACCTTCCCACCCAAGAGTGGAAGATTTGCTCATTCCTAGAGATCTGCCTGAAGTGTCTTTTACGTGTATTTTTGGCATAAGTTGAATAACTTGTCACGCTGATAAAGTCTCCGGGAACTGAACTGAACTCTTTCCACCCAGTGAATGATTCCTGCCTACAGCCTGTTGTGTCTGCAAGGCTCTGGGAGATCCTTCAGGCTGATAGAGCAAAGCTCCGGATCTGTAGCAGGGAGCATGTTTCCTCTCCCAAGTACTTTTAAATATCTCCCAAATGAAGCAGCTGACAAGCAATTTGTCTTCTATTTATATTCTAAGGAACTAAAATATGATTTTAGGATTCCTATTCCCATCACAGGAGCTGATGCTCCTACAAACATCACAGCACATCAGCAGACACAGAGCACTGTGCTGCTCTGAGGTGGTCTCTGTGCCAGGATCTCCCCCAGAAGAGCAAAATCCTGATTCTTCTTAGTAGATAAAAAGCTTTTGAACAGATCCTGGCTCCCATGGGAGTCTTCTACAGACTCCCATGGGATTGAGATTTCAGCCTTTTGTATTACTTCTATAAGCTGCAGGTGCTTGGGGTCACCCAAGAAGGGTCCAGCTGATCTCAAGCCCTTTTGAAAACCCCACTTTCATGTTTTCACTTTAATAAACACAACTATTAGCTCCAGCATCACATTTACCAACTACATGGACACTGAGCTGAGACTTTGTTCAGCTGCCACAGTGCTCGGATGAATCCTTAATGATGCTATTCTATATATGTCAAAGTGAAGCAGAGTGGGATGTAACCATAGGGCTGAAAGGAGTTAAGGTTTTCTTTATTCTGGAACAAAATCGATCTTTCTCTAAGAGGCAGAATCTGCTGCTTGGGCTCTCTGAGAGGAACGTCCCTTTTCCTCACCACAGCTCTAAGCAAAGATATCAGAGCATGAAACAAGCTTTCAGCCTGAAAAACTGCCAGAGACCCCATGGCTGGGGGTGAGAAGGACAAGCTGGAGGCATCACGTCTGAAATCCCTGCACTAATCCCACCCCGGCTCTCTTAGAGCCCTCTCACCCGATTTAATGCCTGGAGTGCTCTTGCCTCCCACCACACACATTACTGCACCCATTCAGGATTTGTGGCTTTTGAGAATGATCTAAATGAATTTGATGTCCCAGAAAGAGGCACTTGAAAACTAAAGCGGGCTGGTTTAATGACAGCATTTCCCACATTTTGATGATAATGACTCTGGTGTTTATTGGAAGGTTTGAGACTCAACCCAGCATGAAAACAAAGCAATTGCAGGGGCCAGCCCTGTGCTGGGGGCTCTGCAGGCCTGGGCACTAACACTCCTGCTCTACATGACACTTCTGGGTCATTTGCACTCTACTGCATCTCCCTGTGCGAGTATGAGAGGATGGAGGCAACATCATTTTGAGTGAGGAGCCTCCTGCACTCTGGCACAGAGCCTGCCCTCTGCGAAGTCACACACCTCTGGTAACTGGGATCATCCTGTTTTTCAGGTTGAGAAATGGAGGCTTAGAGCGTTCAAGCAAGGTGGCAAAGACCACACAAGGGAATGGCAGGGCTGGCAAATAACAGAGCCTCCTGTACCAAGGCTCTTCACCTGGGGACTCTGTCTGGCTTTGCCTCCCTATGCAAGACGCAGGTTTGTCTCAGAGAGACAAGGACAAACCAGCCAAAAGAGCCTTCACCTCCAGCTGGAGGCACAAAACTGGCCAAGGAGCTGAAGTCAGGGGTTGCAGCAGGGATGAGTTTTGCTACTCATCCCCTGCCAGGCAATGGCACACTCATAGAACCCCAGAGTGGTTTGGGTTGGAAGGGACTTCCGAGCTCCTCCAGCTCCAACCCCTGCCACGGGCAGGGACACCTTCCACTGGAGCAGCTTGCTCCAAGCCCCTGTGTCCAACCTGGCCTTGAACACTGCCAGGGATGGGGCAGCCACAGCTTCTCTGGGCACCCTGTGCCAGCGCCTCAGCACCCTCACAGGGAAGAGCTTCTGCCTAAGAGCCCATCTCAACCATCCTGAGCCAGAGCAAAGCCTAATGCTGCTGCAGGCGGTTGTTTCAGATAAGGTTCAAAGCTCAGCCTCTGCACAACTTGTAACTGCAGATTCGATCTGAAGGGGTGGATGTGATACATACCCACCCTGCTGCAGAGGAGGTCAGTTATCTGCATCCCTGCATGCCGAGTTTCTGCCGTTCACCCTTCACCGACTTTCCCAGACTCACATCCCAGCCTCCTGCATTACTCTGACAGGAGTGAGTGAAGTCTTAATGGCAAGAAGAAACCCCTATTCCCACAGATGTGGCTGAGCAAAGCCTGACTCTTCCCAGCACCCAGCACACCCCTGAGCTTGCTGGTGAATCAGAGCGAGCATGCTTTGCCAGGGAGTGGGGATGAGCCACTCCAGGAGCGGGATCCAACCAGTCTCAGTCCCTTGGGGACCACAGTGACAGCACCCCAGGCACATCGTCCCAGGAGTAACAGCCTTTGCCATTTTCTTGCATCTAGAGTGTGTCCTCATGTAATAAATTGAGATTACGGAGTGATTCCTTTCACCAGTGATTCAGAACATGCTGATTAAATGCTGTTTCTTTGTTCCTTTGAAATAAGGGAACTGATACAAACAAATTACGATTTCCAACTGGGAGGAAAGACACACCTTGACTTCTTGAGAAAGCTGCTGCATACTTTGGTGGCTCTGAAGAGCAAGAGGAAACAAGAAGTGGTGTTTCCTAATGCTGCAGATCTTATTAAAGTG